GTTAATCTAAATATATTTAAGGATATAATATTTGCCTCAACCAACTATTTTTTCTAACTACAATGCAATACTTATATTCTCGTCTCTCTCTCCTCTCGTCTCTCTCCTCTCTCTCTCTCTCTCTCTCTCTTATTTCTTCCTCAAATCTAAACATAGCTCTTCACTGACAATGTTCACTATGAATATAAAAGCAAAATATATCATCTCTTATAGTGAACCATGTTTAATGAGTCACCGACCCTTATAACATATGATGATTTTCTCTTTGTGAAGGGCGCCCTATAAGCCTCCAATTATTCATATTTAGGCTTTCCCAATGCTTATTAATCGATAATCTAAAAAAGAAATCCTCCTCATATAACCCACCCTAATATATATTAATCAATCTCGCAATCACTCCACAATCATCTCTTTGACTTTTGATTGTACAACTAATTAAATAAGTAGAAGAATACGTTCAATTAACTTCAAAGCACCTTGCAATCCAATCTCCTTTTATAAGATTAAAAATGATAATTAACAAGTTAGTAGATGAAAAGATATAATTTATTAAAGGGTGGTAGGTAATCTTTGTAAAAAATGTTAGGCAGTAAGTTTTAAAAATGCATACAAAGAAATAACATATAGTAAATTTTAATAACAATTTTGCTTTCTATATAGTGTTTGGTGCTTAGACATATCTAAACATAATTGCTCTTTTATGCTTTATATTATTTTTGGGAAATTTACATTCCATATCAATAGAATTCTCAAGTACTTATAAATCAAATTGATAAACTTTCAAATATATAAAATTCATATATATATATATATATAATTATATATATATAATATATTATATATATATATTATATATATATATTATATAATTTCTTATAATTTATAAAATTTTTTCTTCTATTATATCAATATTTAGAATATTTTTGGCTTGCGAAGGAATTATATTTATTATTAATTAATTATTTATTATTATATTATTATAAGTGGTAGAAAGATTTTGTAGAGACTTGAACATGATTTTAATCCCTCACATTGCAGGTTATTCTTCAATTCTTCTCACATTCATTCAT